ATTTTTTTTTTGGCGTCACCACAGTGGACTCTTTGTGTTTGTCAGTTTGTTTGTTAGCTTGATAAATCAAGATGCTGTGGATGTATCGCAATAAAATTCGGTGTGTGGGAAGGGTAAATAAAAAGGAAAGTCAAGTTCGAAAATGGCCGTCACACCACACATCCCCATGATACCATCACTTTCTTAAAGTCTTCCTAACATTGTTCAAAACAGCAAAACTGAAATAGGTTGTCATACCATGGAGGTAGAGATTTTTTCTACCTCCATGGTCATACAAATCTTTTTGACCTCCACTCCTAATTTTCGTGTTTTGACCTTTGAACAGCCAGGACTTTGAGTATAGGACTATGACTCTGTTTTTGACACATCAGACTTTTATGTTTACAGTATGTTGTCCACTCTTGTTTTACTGTACATGTAAACTAATATGTAACAATGTCTTGTCTTGTAATTTTGCTGGGCCCCCTTGGAAAACAGGTAATGCAAGCTGAATGGGGCCACCCAGCCATCTTGTGATGAAATAAATAAGTAAATAGATTTTGTGTTCTCTGATTGCAGTACCCAGACAGTTCCGACCTGCATTCTGCGACCACCATGTGCAGCCCTGCTTTAGTTCTGAACAGTCCATCACCCATCATCACGTCACTACATTATGCACATGTGTTCAGAAGGATTGCTGAGAGGTGCGATGGGAAGGTGAAAATGAAATACTCCAGTGAGTTCTCATACAACTGTTAATAGTGTTATAATACAACCTACTGAGTAGATGAATCTTACAATTATTACTTATTTTAGGCCACAGCAAGTAAATTTTATGGATGACATCCTCCGCAGACTCAAAATCTGTGCAATAGGGGAAAAAAAACAAGGCATGCCATAAAAACAAGATTCCTGCATTTTCAAATTTTGACATCATCAACCTTGTTGAACAAGAAATGATACCTATATTGTGCTAAGTTTACTGCCAACTATTACAACATCAATTTCTCACTGAAACAACTAAATAAGATAAAAAATTTCAATTATTGTACATTCCAGTCAAATGGTTTTGATTCAGTGGGAACACCACATCCATGTATACACAGCCACCATCACATATAAAAGGAATGAAATACATCACTGCATCAATTTGAAAGTAAGTAAGACAAAATATTGAATCAGAGCCTTGTCTTGCCTCCTCTCTTCATATTTATCTGCCACCCACAGGTATTTCCCGAAGTTGTGAGCAGGTGTCTCAGGACATCTTGCAGAGCTGCGGCAGTTTCATGGAAGTCCGTCACGTGATCCAGGCCAACAAGATCGCGCTCCTGAGGTGCGCCGTGTCCGATCGACACTCGCACTTCCTCCTCTCATCCTTCCTCCAGCGACACGTGGAGGAGCTGTGGTACGGCGAAGCCTTCCGCAACGCGGGAACCTTCAGTCACTGGTTCATACCCGTCGTCTTCCTGTTGTCTCCTCTGCTGCTGCCCTTTGTCGCGATTATTTACGCCGCGGTCTACATCCTCTTCCGCTGGGTTTACCAAGACGCAACTTTGCAGGATCTCCTGCGAAAGCTCAAGTACTATATCGTGTTCTTGGTGAAATATTGCCGATATAGTCCCTACGTCCGCTTCACGACCAACTTGTGCATTTATATCGTGTTGGCGGCCCTCCTTGCTGCTAAATGCGCCTCGCCATTTTCACTCGAAGTGAGGTGGACAGCGGTGGATGGGTGTGTTGCCTTGCTGTGGGTTGGGTTTGCGATCTTTGAAGTGAAGCAATTGCATGTTTCGACAAATGTGGGCACTTACGTGCACTCCAGCTGGCACGATATTATTTATCTTGCCCTTCTCCTGTTGCATTATGGGCTACAAGTAGGGATGCTCACTGCAGAAGTGACGTCAGGGACCACGTATCTGAACAGCCCTGGTGTTAGTACCACCGTTAACTGGTATGTGCCAGTCATATCACACATCCTCTTGGCACTGGGTACCATCATGGTTTTCATCCGTCTGTTGGGCTATCTGGATGTCACTGCCACATTCGGTCCTCTGGAGTATTCCTTGTGGACGGTTGCAAAGGACGTTGGATACCTGATAGCTGTCTATGGTAGGTCAAAGTATTTTTGTTTACTTGGCATTCCTGTTATTACAAATTTAAATTGTGTCTACCAGACCTATCATTGATTTGAAAAAAGCTGTTGAAATTGACCAAAATATACATCGTATGGTAGGGCCTTGGATAGCCGTGGCGACTCTTGATTTGGGCTTACAAATTGCATTACCCTCAGCATGCAATGTAAGCCTGAATCAAGAGTCGCCACGGCTAGGTCTTGGAGAACAATTTCATTACGTTGTACACACTCATGTAACTGGCAAATGGTATAAGGCCTTCTAACTTGTTTCAAATTGGTAGGGACTAGTAAGGTTTATCAATATATATATCATAAGTGCAGCAGTTGCTCCTATTAACCCTTGTCCTGCTGGCATTCCTGGCACAATATTTTTCAATAATTTCATGTCTTAATTAGATCATAAGAAACCCAAATTTTTTGCCCTGCGGTGGCACAGTTACTTCCGCATTCGTTGCGTTTCGCTGCGGTGTGATGCGTTGCACGAGAAATACCCCCAAATCGTACCTATACAGGGTGCTATATAGATGGTACTGTATGTGCCGCGCGACATATGTTGCGCACAGCAGGACAAGGGTTAAGTCCTCTGTTCAGTGTTTGTTCCATTCTAATACATGTTCTAAACACACTACAGCTAACAGTGTATATGTACAGGCAACAGCTAATATTTGCCAAACTTTCTTTTCTGTACTGACTGATGATGTCTATTACTCCTGGACCAGTAATATGACTCTCAGACTGGTAGCTTAACTGCAATGCAGTTCTACAGTATTACATGACAAAAAAACTTTTTCTGTGTTCAAAAATATCTGGAAACAAAGAAATATATCAGGTTCTGTCCTTGGTGCTGAATAAGAAATCAACTCCAAATTGCTCACATTTTGGCCCAAAACAGCTGAAGGAAGTCCCTTCTCTTCATACACAATTTTAGTTGTTGCAGTTTTTTGATCTATCAATGCATTAGTTTGATTATTAAAAAGTTTGATATTCATTGTTTGAATTACAAACCAGCCTGGTATTTTGAGTTCATGGCTCCTACCAAAGCATTTGTGGCTATCATATCTATTACATGACGAAAAAAGCTTTCTTGGTGTTCAAAAAAATCTGGAAACAAAGAAATACATGTACATCAGATTCTGTCCTTGGTGCTGAATAAGAAATCCACACACAGGGGGCACGAACATTGCACATAAAAATAATTAATTTATTATTTGTTAAATCAACCCATTCGTACACATATGACCAAGGAAATCAAATCTTGATGGTAGTCCTTAAACAGTGACCAGTATGATAATTGTACTTTTCAGTTTTTGTATCTGTGGCCTTCGCCAGTGGGATGACCAAAGTGTACAACACCGGTGCTGGCGGTGGAAATCTGACCAGTCTGAATGCACTTTGGATCAACAATTCAACAAGTACTGATGAGTTCACAGGGTAAGACTCAAATTAACTTGATTAGGCCACACCAATTTAATTTTTTGGTTCTCGGATTCTCCTCTTCATTTTTTTCTGATTTGCAAAAAAAAAAAATTCTGGTTCTGAATCAACTGAATGTTTTGTCCCCAATAGTTGAGGAAAGTCCTTTTCTTCCTAGATGTTACAGTTTTTCCATCTATCAATGCAGTGGTTTGATTAAAAATTAAAAATCATTGTTTAAATATAACCCAGCATTTTGACTTCATGGCTCCTATCATAGCATTTGGGGCTATAATAGGATGCCTAGACCTGTTTTTATTTTTTTTTTTCGCCCTGTTGCTTCATATTTTTTCTGGAAAAATCCAAGAACCAATAAATTAAATTGGTGTGGCCTTAATAAAAACATGTCAGTTCCTCTGCCTGTCTATTCAGTGTCTGTAGATCCTGAGCTAACTGCAGTGCTTCTTTGTTAAAGGTTCTGCACAGTGCTTCCATACATTTTTGGTGGTACATGTACCAATAAATACATGCTAGCTGGATGTAAACAAACAAACAAACAGCTATTCCAACATCAATTCTTGAATACCCTAAGACACAATAAAAGACTGTCAGAGAATCTAAGGAGGTTTTAATTGTTTATAAATGTTACGTCATAAGTATTCTTACTGCAACAGTTAATGAACATATTTGTGTTAAGAAATGGCCAGAAAATTGATGTCAAACAGTACATTGTTTGTGCCAGTGTTTCTTATGGGGCTGACAGATTTAAGCTTTTTTATAACATAATTTAATAGAATAAAAGCTAACTTAAATAGAACAAACGTACACACAGGTAACTAGTAGCATTACATAATGATATAAAATTAGGTAACTCCTTTTTTTGTTTAGAATTAAAACTTAAGATCCAACACAAACAGTTATGTCACCTAGAGCTTTCAGCCAGTCACTCTGGTCTTTCTCAGTAGACTGGCCCAGCGAGGCTTGTCACATGGCTTCTTTGAAGTGTGACGTCAACACTCTAAGAACTGTTTGTGTTGGATCTAAAGTTTTAACTCTAAACATCTAACTACCAAGTGTTGAACACAGACAAACTTTGAATTCATGATTTTTTTTTTTTTCTTAGAATCAGTGTGACCTTCCTGAACCTGCAGTGGGCTGTGTTTGGGCTCCAGGGACACAACATTTTCCTGAGTAGTTACCTCCCAACTCACATCCTCTGTAAGGTCCTGCTGGCCATGTTCCTCCTAACTAACCTGGTGGTGGTCAGTCTGCTGATCGTCCGGCTCGTATCTAGTGTTACAACACAGGAGGTACCTTTATTACCTTCGCCAAGAAGGTTATGTTTTCAGTAGCGTTCGTCTGTCTGTGAAAAAGTCAAGAAGCTTTATATGCATTGTCATGAAACTTGGTAGGTGGGTAGGTCTTGATAAAACCTAGAAATGATTAGATTTTTGACCCTGGTGGCTTTCCTAGGTACTGCAGCAGAACGTCCGGTTTTGATATCTCATCTGGACATGCTAGGGTCACGAAAATTTGAATGGTTTAGCTCTTCGGGTAGGAAAGAAGTGACATTAGTTTGGAATCCCTAGCGGCTTGTTCTCAGGTCTTTCCAAATGTAGTCAGGTGCTTCTATCACATTGTATAGAATTTAATCTGTAGACCACACCAATTTAATCTGTTGGTTCATGGATTCGTTTTCATTTTTTCCTGATTTGACCAAAAAAAAACATTTCAACCTCTGAATCAACTCAAAAATGCTCACATTTTGGCCCCAAACAGCTGAAGGAAGTCCTCTTCATAGTTGCTACAGTCGTTTCATATTTTTATGAACAAATCTGAGAACCAACAAATCAAATTAGTGCGGCCTTAACAGTTAAAACAAATTGAGGCCAACCAAGGTTTGTACTCAAGCTAATGATTGATTAGTCCACATTGTTGTCTTTCCAAAAATATTGCCTTTTCTGATCTCAGGAACGTTGGAAAGGCAAAATGTCATCTAGAAAAAAAAAACTTGTGAGACAACTCTCATAGAATTATTGTCATTTGTGTGACATAGCACCCAGTGACATGATGACAGCATTATGTATTAACTTAGTTTGTAAAAGGTTATTAAAAATCAAGTACGAAATTCAACATCCAGATGGAGATTGTACAAGAATAGTAGCCTCTACCAGGCTTCGAGAGGCAGCTAAAAAGAGTAGAAATCGGCCAAATAGAGAGATAGTATGCCAGGGGAGTTGGTCTGCTGGAGAAACAGTTTGCTGCACCCGAATAGATAGAGATTAGTGAACTTCAGAGATATGGCAACTACGCACGGGCTTCGGGTGTCACAGTGGCAAACTGTTCTCTTCAGCAGACCAACTCCCCTGGCAATTGCTAGGTATCTCTCTATTTGGCTGATTTCTACTCTTTCCAGCTGCCTCCCAAAACCTGGTAGAGGCTACAAGAGACTTAATGTCCCTTCTTCATCAATGCATTTATTTCTCCTGCAGGAGGAGAAGTCTCTACAACAACGGATGCACGCCCGAGCCAGGTTTATCCTGGAGTACCAGGACATTGAGGATCTACCAGTTCCCTTCAACATCCTCCATTTTGTGTGGCTGGGTCTGAAAGCCTTGGTGTTGAGATGCAAGCGATCGTGTCCGAGAGTGAAGTGTACATGTAGGGCCACAATCTGCAGTCGTTTGGTAAGTAGTAAGTACTGTAAGAAATTGTGGTAATAGACTAACACGCATGCGTAGCGTGGGAAGTAGAAGCATCTCAGACAGACGTCTGTTGAGAGGACTGAGAAAAGAACATCAGAGTATGATGGCATGGCGTCAATTTCTTGGATCCTACCACTGAGGTAGAAGGACGACTAGAGCTACTCTCCAAGCAGATGTTTGGGTTTTGGATTATTTTTGGTGTGTTTTTAGGCTTTTTTATCGGGGTTTCTCTTTTGCACTGGAATGCCCCCCCCCCAAAAAAAAATTCCAGTGCAAAAGAGATACCCCGATAAAAAAGCCTAATAACACGCCAAAAATAACCCCAAACCCAAACCTCTGCTTGGAGAGTAGACTAGAACACAGACAGAGCACGCCGTCACATGGTGTCAGAAGTGGGATACTGTCTAGACCATACTCACAGTTTTGTAGGTTCTCTCTCTCCTACCCTCTCTTTTGGACTTGAAACTTCGGGTTCTACATGTAGTTCCTGACACTTGTCACACTGTTGAGTTCAAAATCCACACTCTCACACTTTTGCTGTGCAAATTGTATTTTCTGTATGAGACTTATTGGAGATAGCAGGTTCCCTGGCAGGGTTGGACAAGTTTTCAAAAATCCACTTGCCAAAAAACATTTGGGCATGTACATGGTTATTTCCTCTTGCCCAAACCAACTTTTCACTTGCCCAAAATATGACGTGTTTCTATGCATTTTACATGCAGAATGAAAATTATTTTATTAAAAAAAAAGCACATTTAAGTTTATAATGTTGCTTGCTTTAATTACCAAAATAAGGGTACTTAGAGACTGTTCTGAAAAAAGGGCATATCTTTGACTGGAAAATATCTTTATTTGATGTGTACTTTTGCTCCAAACACCGCATCCAAAAAAGTTACTTGCCAAATCAGGCAAGTACTGGGGGATATTCACTTGCCCGAACAGTGCTTTTACCTGCCCTCTGGGCAAATGGGCAATGGGACTTGTCCAACCCTGCCTGGCATGCAAGTTACCAATCATTTTTTTTTCTTTTGCATAATTATACAAAGTGACTTTTTAAAGTTTACAGCGGCCCGGCTTACCGTTTTCTAAACTAAACTGTATCCTAATTTCAGTCAGCATGTAAGAAACGTCTAAAGTTTACTGGTGGCCTGGCTTAATATTGGCTTGCCTTCTAAAATAAACTGTGACGTTGACAGTGACCAGAAAAATTGATGGGCAACCTAGCTTTGGCTGGCAACCTGAGAAAAAAAGGGTTTCAAACTCTGTACTGTATTATCAAAAATCAATGCTTGCTATACGTGTACATGTATATATTTTTATTATTATAAATAGTATTCAATAATAAGCAAAATACTGTCAATTTTGTAAAAGCACTTTATGTTTTGACATTTGTGTCGTCATGCTGTGATCCTTCACCACAAACATAATGCTCTGACAAGTCTGTCTTTCGTTGTGTTACTACAATTGTAACTATGACACTGAGCAAACTCTTGATGTTCACTGTGCTGCAAGGTAAATTCTTATTGCTGTTTATGAAAATAAATTTATTGGCATCAAAAGCTACTGGACGTACAATGTACAACTTAAATTTTAGGTTTCTATGATCCTTTTCTTTTTTCTCCATAGTGCAAAAGACGTAACGTGGAAAAGGCCAAGACGGCATGGTCAAGTTACTTTGGGTAAGTTTCAAAACTAATTTGGTTGACACCTCCAGAACCAGCCCCTGTGTGTACAGGGAACATCACAATGTTTTCTTCACTGTGAACTCCCAACAATTTTTATCTGGGCCAAATCATTTATTTCTCTTCATCAATGCCAATTCAGTTTCAACTTTTCCAATAACTTGCTGTTAAATTAAGTTCCCTTCCCACATTGTTTTGTTTGACGTCTTTGTTTCTTTGTTTTCTGCAGAGAAGGAAATGTCTTTCAAGCAGACAAAGCTGACGTAAGTGACATCATGAGGCAGATGGTTGCCAACTACCAGAGAACACTCCAGAGTCGACATGTGTCAGTGGAGGTATGGATCTACATCTCTGACATGTTCAGGACTGGTGGAAGTCTCCACCTATCATTAAAGCTTGTACTTGCACGGCTCTTAGACTGTTCGCTGACTGGGACCCTCATCTGTTGAACTGTCCCGTAACAAGTTTGAACTGCTTCTAACTAAAGGGAGCTTAAGATTCTACGGCCCCCATGATAGCCAGAAATGTTATGAGATATAAGCCATGAAGTCAACATACCAGACTACAATAGATTTAACTTTTGATGAAACAAACTTGCATTGTTACATTGTTACAACTTTTAAATAAAATTAACAACTAGGAAGAAAAGGACTTTCTTTAACCGTTGGGGCCAAAATATGTCTTTCATTGAGCTTTTTGCAGTTCATTTAGAACCTAAAAGGAGTTTTGTTTTGTTTTTGCAAATAAGGAAAAAAATGGACAGAGCAATTCTGAGAAGCAACCAATTAAATTGATGTGGCCTTATCTTTGTATCCAGGATGTTGACACAGCAGTGGACAGTCATCTCCAAGCTGTGGAGGAAGAAACTAAAGGTCTGCAGCATGAGGTGGAAGACGTCTTCACAGGTGTACAGAACAACAAGGCTGCTCTGCAGACAAACCTGGAGACACTTCAATCTCAGATCAACTGATAAGACACTGGAGGAAGTAAAGACGGAGTGTGTGTGTCGCAAATATTGCATGAAACAAGCATGAAAAGTAGGAACTAATACATGTAGATAAACGTATTACTAACTTATGCATGATTGACATTTTATACTATGTACATAAAATGTAAATCAAGAACAACTAGAGAAGTAACATTTGCAAAGCAAATGCATAATGTTTACCTTCGGACATGGTCTGCCCTGTTAATTCCTACTCAAACACATTCACATAATATACAATCATGTTACTACGAGTATATAGTCACTGTGACAGGAGTAGAGCAGACCATGAAGTTGCAACATTATGTAACCCAACACCAGTCACCATGGTGGCCAATGTCAACAAATCATGTCATTGGTCAGGTCAGAGGTTAGTGTTTGGAACAGAAGAGGAGGAAGAAACTGAGTAAAAACAATATGTTTTCCTTCGGTAAACATAATAATACAGTCAAACCTACCCAATGAGCCAGGGGACCTAAGAAAAAGGGACCGGAGAAAAGTGGTCACCTTGGACAGATGGTCTCATTGAAGAGGGTCGCCTCACAACACGACCAAGACATAAATGGTTTCCAAGTAGAGATGTTTTAATGTCAAATAATGTAGTGTAAACATCTTCAGATCTGTGGTGAATACATGTGGGTGGGTACGTGGCACATGGCATAATTTAGATAAAATATCGTCCAGCAGTCGAAGAAAACTGGCTTGTTTCATCATTTCTTGTTAGTTATCATGAATAATCTACACGATTGAAAAAGACTTGGTCGCTATCGGCAGTTATCCGGTCTTGAGCGGACCCAACTCATGGCGGTCGCGTTGGCCAGGTGGTCACCTTGGACAGGTCACTTAATGCTTGCAAATATTTGGGACTGAGAAGAAGCGGTCACCATGGACAGGTGGCCAGCTTGAAGAGGTGGTCTCCTTGGCAGGTTTGACTGTATGAAGATTTGATGTTGTTTATTTCTTAATCAAAATTCTCCACGTGGCGAGTGGAAAGAAACTTTACAAATGTTGATATGTTACAATGAATGGGCATTAGCATGTGGGACGTACTACCCCTTGTTGGTCTTGTGGAGATGTACATGACTGTAAGTCTGCATGTCTAAATCGTACACATTTGCTACAGACATCACAAAAAGCATGTCTCAGTCTCTCTCCTGTATGAAAGAGGTAACAAGTTGTAGTCTAGCCTTGTTATCATGTTCAGAAGCGTCGGAATTTGCACTTATAATGAACCATTTCATCTGTAGTCCGACGATGTAGACTCGCCCTGGCAGGGCATGTTGTTCGTAGTAATGAACCAGCTGGTAGACTAATATACAGTGGCTTCCTACTGGGAGACGTAGAATGGGACGGCCTTATACTACACTAATTTTGTCTATGTTAGAGAGAGACACTGGTCTCGCAGGGCCTGCATTAGTGTCCACTATGAGGGATAGGACATACAGTAACTGGAGAAACTTTATCAAGTGTACCTCACCGGATTTATAATCCGGAGGCATGATGATGATGTATGAACTAAGTTGCCCACCTCTGCACACCCTCTAAAAGGGACATTAGATTGCGAGACACAGTTGACCATATCTGACAGGAGTATTCGAGCACTGGTCTAACCAGTGTCATGTACATGTATAGTGGTTTGCGTACCACCAGGCTGGATTCATAACCAACTGTGCATCTGATAAAGCCAATCTTGGAATTGGCTCTCGTCACTACATTCACAATATGACTATTCCACAAACTGGGCAGTATGTCTTGCATTACTGTAGAAAGTATGTGTCACAATAACCTGTCTTTTTTGGTCAATTGTTAACATAATACAATTGTCAGTGACAGTTTTGCAGATTGTCTGCACACGGTACAATACTATCACCTCTAATCTCTGTCTAAGTTCAAACCACATTGATGAATTCACCATTACAGCCATTACAAGGTTGTACATGTACATGTATGTCTAGACATACAATTCACAACAGAATCATTCATAGTAACTGACAGTGAAATATTCCCACCGCCACACCCATCCCCACGCCCCAGACAGAAGATGGAGAGATAAGGAGTGCGGAAAAAGGTCCCCATCCTGTCCAGAGAGCGGCACCAAAATGCTCATCCGAGCCTCACCGACGAGGGTGGGTGGGTGGGGACAAAATTAAACTGTCACCCTGCTCCCTCACCACCTCCCATACCCTCCGTTGACCACCCATCCCCTACGCCTTCCTTTCCATTCACTCCATCCCCAATTCTCTCAATTTTTCCCCCCTGCTTTTCTCCTCCCCCCGCCGGCCAACTGCGCATTTGTGTCGTTTCTTTCCCCCTTTTATATCTTATCCCTCATTAGCATACCCACCTGTTTCTTTGTCTTCTCTGATTGGTCCCCTTACTAAATAGTGCTAATTGGGCACCTGTCTGTGGCGCGCGGGGACAGGTGTAGCGGTGCGAATAGTGAAATATTCCCACCGCCACACCCATCCCCACGCCCCAGACAGAAGATGGAGAGATAAGGAGTGCGGAAAAAGGTCCCCATCCCAGTCCCTCCATCTCCCCCCAAGCTCTACCGAGTCGTCCTACCCTTCCAAATTCCAACCTTCCCAATCCTTCCCTATCCTTCCCCCTACCCTCTTCTCCTATAACGAATTTTTCATCCGTCCTGACTGTTTCCTAATAAATGAAAATCTTACCACATCATGTGCTCAGTACGAGTTTTATTATTATACAATGTACATTCTTTGCGTGCACCCTATTACACTGCTTTCTCGCATACCGGGACAAAGCCCTTCAAATCGTTTAGATCTTTATATAGCTGAATCAGACTGGTGACAGCTGCCCCATCCCCTCCTGTCATATTGAGGGCTGCTGCCATGTTGCCTGCAGGGCTGTTAGCTTTCAACACCTTAGTCAGTCTCATATAATGCTCCGCGGATGGTTCGGCAAACCAGCCGACGTGCGCCATTATGTCTTGCTTGGACGAGCCAGCGAAAGCCAGAGTCAAAGCACACCCTGTTCTAAAGCTGTGCCCTGATTCCCCCTCGTAAAGGCCTGCTGCCTTCAGGTGGATCCTGAGTCTGGCCTCTGCTGCCCCTGAGGAAAACGGATTCTCCGTGACCTCGCCCTTCACTGAAGTAGATCTGAACACGTATCCGGTTAGAATGCATAGACCCAGTTTCTTACAGATGTCCCAGTATGTCTCCAAACCTTTAACTGGGCAGATGGTTTTATTCTCTATCCTTTTGATACCGAAAACATTGGGTCTATCCGCTCTAACCGTCTTACCCTCCGTGTGATTAAACAGTAACCCACTCCCATCTGGGTACCACATAAGTTCATTAACCTTAGTATGCCCTAGATCATCCAACCTGTCTCCTGCGAACATAGCCACTTTGAAGAAAGCATTATCTCTAATTAGCATGTATATCTCCCTTGGAGAGATGTCTTCCTTCAACAACTTCTTATTTATATGCTGTGCCAACTTCTCCAATTTATCAGGGAAGAGAGGAATTGCTTGCTTAGGGACCACCAAAGCTTTTGATTGCTCCCTCCTAATGGCGGCTAAGTACTCTTTGACACTCCGATGGGCGGCAGGGTTTCCCCTGTTTGTTTCATCATTCCCATCTGCTGATCTACCTGCGGCTGTAAATATTGCCCTTAATTTTCCTACTACAGCATCTACTGTTCCAGCCGCCATTCTACGCGGGCAGATACAATCTGATGCCTGAGCAGAACCCAAGGACGGACAAGCATTAACATGCACTTTTGTTTTCCCCTTTTCATCTTTCCAGACTAAGTACCTGAGAACATCTTTAGGGGTGGCCGAGACCAAGTCTTTTTCCTGAGGGAGCGAAGCTAGAAACATCTCGAATTCTTTTTGTAACGCTGACTTCTGTTTCATGTACTTCGTTACAGATTGCTCTACTTCCAAGATTCTAGCATCCAGTTGATTGATATCTACCGGTCGCGGTAACTTCGCCTTGGGCCCACTAGCACGCCTTCTCTTATATCCGCACATTTGGCAGAAGTTAAATATCTCATCATTAGGGTGGCTGCATTCGGGGCACGCTACTGCTGGACTGCAAAATCGTGGCACCCTAGGAAGTACCTGAAAAAAAATGAAAGGAAATGACACACATATACCCATGTACAATCAACTTTTATTGAGTTTTCTGCTTTACATAGTATTCTTGCACACATAGCATTTCCTATTTATCAATCATAAGTACCCTCCTGTACATTCGCACACATCTCATCTCATGAATTGCTTAACTCTTTGAAGTTCTTGCGCTTCTTCTACCAGCGAATTTTCCATGCCCATAAGTCCCATTCCAGACAATGAGGTGACCAACCCACAGGCGAAGGCATCTTTACTATCCCCGCCTGTCCTCTGCGCCCTACCAAGACGCGCTTGCTCGCCGTGGCCTTCAGAATCGGCCACCAGTACCTAACCGGGGATGTACAAGGTGCTACCAAAGTGCAGGGGTACTGCCACTGCTTTATGTGATTAAACACCTGGCCCACTAACGCTACTGGCGGGAACACATAACCCTTTCCATACTTTGCCAACTCCTTGCCAAAGGTTTGCGCGAAAAAATCCACCGCCCTTGCCTGCCTGGTGGAAACGGCGCTATAAAATTGCGTAGTCTAGCATTAGATGGCATGGCCATACAATCTATCCCCATGCGGACCCAACTTCAACTCCAGCGTTTCCCACGCGTCCTCTGTGAGTGCCATGTCTACCTCTGAAAATGACCTGGATGGCATATCTGCTGGGTTATCTGCTGACTGTACGTACGACATAGACAGGGCGCAATTCATCCTTAAGGTCAGGGAAAAGATTTCCTTCAACACGTCAAACATCTGCTTCGACTTCCTGCCCTGTGCTTTCCACGCGTGCATTACTGCCTGGTTGTCTACCTGGAGCTGCACCCTTGCATTCCTGCACCTATCTCCTGCTGCCTCCATTACATACCTTACCGCCAGCGCCTCCTTAATATTGATGTGAAGAGCCCTTTCCCTCTGAGACCACGCATCACCTAACACTAGCTGTGAGTCCATACCTGGGTCTATCACACCCCCCCATCGCGCATTCGATGCATCGGAAGCCAACTTTATGGTAAGATGCCTCTCCTGTCTCCATGGGAAGGACCCCTGCCAGCTTTCTAGGAATTCCCAGTGCTCAATCTCCTTTCTGAGGTCCCCCCTTATGTAGATCATCTGACCCTTACGCACTGCCTGCGATATTGCCAAATTGCATTCCCTTGTGAACAACTGCGTCCCTGGGACTGCCACAGCAAAGGAGATAATTTTGCCCACAAGCTTTTGCAATAACTTGACGTCCACCTTCCCCTCGCTCAAGATTTGCCTTCTCAACGTTCCGAACTTTCCTTTCTTTTCCTCTGGGATTCCAAACGCCATAAGGATAGAGTTTATTATCATCCCCAGAAAAGTGATGATTTGCGTCGGAACTAACACTGACTTTGCCAAGTTTATGAAATAACCGAGCCTGACCAATATTGTCACTAACAGGAAGATTGCTTTCTCGGCTCTCCTAAAGGCAGTGATCTCATCTACCTCGGTGGGTTGGTTCGGTCTGGTCAACTGCCCTGCATGCCTATCATCAATGTAATGGGTGGAGGGTACTCCTACCGCTCTGACATAACTTGTTGCTGCTAAACCTAGCGTATTATAGACCCAGGCCGACAAGGACCAGCCGAACGGAATTGTGGTACACACAAAGTTAAAAACCACCCCACTCAAAACCAAGCAGCGTCTTAGATTGATTCTGGACCTTCGCATGGTCGTATCCTGACTTATCGTCACATTTGGTCTGGTACGACCTTCTGTGCACATATCTCGTGACGTCCGACAACCTATCTAAAGAGAAAGGTATCTTCTTGGTAAAAAGATTAAGAAACCTTATATCACAACACAAACGAGGTTTGTTGGGTTCAACAGTCAAGGGCATGACTAGATGTGGAGGGTCTACCTCCCCTACTTTTCCCCATAACTGCACCGCCCCTGTCTTCAAACGGTCCTCAATTGTCTCACTGATGAACTTTACGAAACCTTTGCAAGACCCACCATTAGGGAAGAACTTTTTTGGCGGAAACGTGTGGTCATAACTTTCTCCTTGCCAAAGCCCTTTGTAAGGTACCACATAATCTTCGACCTTAACCCCATGTTCTATCCAGCTCATTAACAATTCTTTATCAGCATGGTTCCTTAAGACCAGTCTCCATTCTTCTCCATAGTTATGTATATTTCCCGCAATAAAATGTTCGGGGTTTCTGAACTTAACCATGGTAGCATTTGCATGGCACTCTCCCTCCAGAACTTCACTAAATGAAGGTGCCATTGGGTTGGTGTCTTCCCAGGGCTGCCCCTTGCTGTCTACCCATGTGTAGACCTCCCGCTTATTCCGTAACGCCTCCTCAGGGTTGAATTAGATGCTTTTTTCCCAGTCTGGGATTTTATCCAACACTTTGACGCGGGAGTACTGCAATGAATTATGGAAAAAATAATATCTCCATGTCCTACACCGTTGCACTTTTATAGCTTAATGTACTGGATATATGATTACCTTTTTTTTTTTTTTTACAGCCCTGGGAAAACACCAACCCACAAAGGTGGGGATAAGGGATCAGGAGAGCCCCTGGTGTTTACCATGGCGTCAGAACCAAACTGTCAGGAAATACATTATTATTCTAAAGTAACATAAATTTCAAACATGAAGTCAAGTGATGTCAATGAACAGGATCTCTTTAATTCGTAAACCGTTCCAGTCGTCAAGGTATCACAGAGCACTTGTAGTGTTTCCACCGGGTTAACAATAACAGGTCAAATCGCTTCGCATACAAAGAAAATTTTCATCCGTTGGACGATTTTACAAACATTCTGGCACGTAGCATCACTGCATACTTGCACCTTCGCACCACGCGGTCTATCCAATTTATTAAGAAAATACAACAAAAACATTACTGTTACTCTTAGACGTGGCAGTGTTTCCCTCAGGTTAACAGTAGCAGGTCTACTCACTTCACATACAAAGAAAATTTTTTTTCACCCGTTGAACGATTTTACAACATTTGGACCGTAGCACCACTGCATAATTGCAATTTCGCACCACAGGATCTATTCAATTTATTAATAAGGTACAACAAAAATAAAATATTACTGTTATTCTTAGACGCGGCGATATGACCGAAAATTCTCACTCTTGCCTAACTCCTGACTCTCCTTTTTTTAACAATTAAGCTTCCTTTTATTCCTTTCCACTTCAAATGCCTAATTTCATTTTACAGCAGATTCTTAATCTTTCTTCTTTTCGTCCCTGTCTCTATCTCTTCCTGAACTTCTCTCCCTGCTGGCACGTCTGGCCGGGCACTTAGCCACCAGGTGCTCCGGCGAGCCACACCCATAACACCTCCTCCCTCCGTACTGCGGCTGGTGATAGGGTCGCCATGGCTGTGGTGCGTATGACCAGTGTCCTGAAGACTGGTACCCTTCCCTCCGCCCTGGACGTGTCGGCGTTGACTGCTTGGATTGACTTCCTCCGGAACCTAAGATCCCAGACACCCTTCTGCTCACTTTCCTTTCGGACTCTGTGGCGTATATCTCCCTAATAGCCTGCTTAAGCTTCGGGTCGTGCCTATGTAAACGCAGCAACTCTGCTGCTGATTGATAGTCCTCCGCTTTCCTATGGTTTTCCCTTTTAGCAGCGGTAGCGAGGTCTTCAACAAGTTGCATGGCTGACGTCGCGTCGAAAAGGCTGTCAGGCCGTTGAACTATACTACGGATGTCCCTCAGAATGGCTCTAACACCTGCGTTTCCCCTCTGTAGTCCATCTACGGTCGCCTGCAGGGTCCGTACTATCTGAAGGAGGTCCTATAAATGACAAATAGGGTTCTGTTCAACTCGAGCCGCAATCTCATACACTTAAGCTAACGTCACTCAGGTTAATTCCATCCCACTCACTAACACTATTCATATTGAGCTCATCTATACAGGCTATCACCACACAGGTAAATTTCAGCCACACAGGCTAACATCACTCAGGTAAAATTCAGCTACACAGGCTAACATCACACAGGTAAATTTCAGCCACACAGGCTAATACCACACAGGTAAATTTCAGCCACACAGGCTAACACCACACAGGTAAATTTCAGCCACACAGGCTAACACCACACAGGTAAATTTCAGCCACACAGGCTAACACCACACAGGTAAATTTCAGCCACACAGGCTAACACCACACAGGTAACTTTCAGCCACACAGGCTAACACCACACAGGTAAAAAATTCAGCCACACAGGCTAACACCACACAGGTAAATTTCAGCCACACAGGCTGACATCACTCAGGTAAAATTCAGCCACACAGGCACGCCAATAAATTATCTCGCAACCTATGCTACACCCGCCAAATCTACAAAAATGCGACCTAACATAACGTTAATCTCTGCGACCTCAGGCAAGCCCACTATGTTCGCCTACCTTTACTGTACAAATAACCGATTTTTTTTTTTTTAACGTGTAATCTTACCACCGACACACTCTAAAATAATCTATTCCTTGCTTATTAGAAAATACGAGCGGCAAGAAAAAACCAATTTACCTCCTGAGGCGGCTGTGGGGGGGCGTCCGGCTGGGCCGCGCCCGCCGGTCCCACTGGATTCGGCTGGGCTTGACCCTGTGCTGGCTGCGCCGCTGGTAGGGGTTGCTGCCCTCCGCCTTGCTGCTGTGGTACCTGCGGGGCCGGGGGCGCCCTTGGCTGCTGTTGAACCCCCTGGCCCTGCTGCGCCGCAGGGGCTACCTGCTGCTGCTGGGCTGCCGGAGGCTGACCCTGTGCCGCTGCCGGTGGAGGTGCCGGTTGCTGTAACGCCGCCTGCACGGCGCCCGGCGCTGGCGGCTGCGGGACCTGAGCCATCTTCTCAAATTTTTCCCCTGCGTTCAACGACACCGACGGCCAACTGCGCATTTGTGTCGTTTCTTTCCCCCTTTTATATCTTATCCCTCATTAGCATACCCACCTGTTTCTTTGTCTTCTCTGATTGGTCCCCTTACTAAATAGTGCTAATTGGGCACCTGTCTGTGGCGCGCGGGGACAGGTGTAGCGGTGCGAATAGTGTATAATTACCACTCATATCTATAATTTGATTTTGTGACATGAAAAGCAGTTTTTCTTCTTCAAAATACAGGAGCAAGTTAAAAGCGTTGAAAAACATAATCACACAAAACAATATTTGACTATCAAATTTCATGGTTTGGGGGTACATGTACTTTATTTAATTTTTAATTGACATCTGAATGAATTTTTTAGGAAATGGTCAAAATTCCACTATACGTATACTAAATTTTAGTCTTGAAAAAAAAAAAAAAAAAATTAACGATAGGTCTACTATGAATAATTTTGTGGTTAACTGTAAATTACTTATCATATAATAATAAACTATATCTTGTTAAGTCAGATATACATGTAGTGTATAGTCGGTGCAAAGCCATTATGCTGTAGATCATTATGTGTATAATTTTATTTAATAAAGTCAAAACTTTATTTTATCTACCCCCTAATGTTATATTAAAGGGTTAATGACCCACCCCGAGGTCAATATGGTGTGATAATGCCTTGTCAGTTGCTATAATCACTGAATGAAGCCACCGAGTGAGCGCAGCTAACTGTGACATTATGGTGTCATAATCAATATGAAATGGGGGCTTCTTTTTGGTCAATGCCACCTGGCTATATGAGCACGTCGGCAGAACGTACTGCGCCTGTACAAAACCCTGATTTTTCGCAGTTTTCATCAGATATTTGGTCAACGTTGCATCAGGATTTTTCTTGTTGCAGAAGACATATTTTCCGACATAACATTTGGAAACTACAGATGGAATGTTAACCTTATATGCACGAATAGGACCTTATATGAGACGTTCTACCGAGGTGCTACGTGTATAATACATTACGGCTTTCGCGCAGGTGCAGTACGTTCTGCCGACGTGCTGGCTATATGACAATACTCTTGAAATCATGACCTACAGGTATTGCCACACAACGTACAGATATAAATGAGACAAAGGGACCAGTAGAAGGGTTTCAACTTGCCTAGGATTTATTATTAAGTTGAAAAAACATTGACATCACAACAATTCTAACTTCACACTTAAGCTCCATCCCGGGGTGCTCAATCTGCTGAAGCACAACCAACCACTCTTCCATGGAAGTTGTCTAGAAAAAACAACACTTTTTTCTTCTAACTTGGAGAGAGACAGACGTATTTTTGTACAAGTCAATGTACATGATACATTATAGATAGAGATATATATTAAGCTACACACAGCCATTCCTTGGTTATAAAAAAAGGCATCTCTTTTGTTGTTTGTTAATGTTGCAATTTTCTACTTGTGAAAAGTGCAAAGAACATTGGCAGCCAGGGAAAGACTGTAATACTGGACAGCACGGTTGGCATCATTCAAAATTACTTAGGATATGACACAGCTCATTTTTCCTTTGCTCATATGAAATATATCCATGCTGATATGAAAGGCTAAATATGAGATGATAAGAATATCATCAAGCTTTAAGAAAAAAAAAACATTACTCGCCTTATCTGATACAAATCCTACTCTATGTAGATTTATAAGAAAGCAGCCCAAATGTTTACAAACAATTACCAATAACCATGATAGTAACAATGCTACACTCACCTTATTTTTCAACTTAATTCATTAAAGGCTAGTTGGGTTAATGAGGTATATTTCCTTTGCAAAAACAAGGGAAAAAGTAGCCACTATATAATATAGTGCCTAATATTACACCGTTAATAAATGCTCTTCAACTCACTGAAAACAAAGACTTATTAACATTATTATAGTATTGCAGAAAATCAATGGAATGTTTTTCTCTGCCTAAATGATGAAACCAACAATTCCACTCTACTGTGGGGTTTTCCTTACTTGTTCCACAGTGCATGGAATCTAGCATAGCAGACTCCCCTACCATTCAAAATCCTTCTATCTCAATGTTAACTTCCAAACTGGTCCAACAAGCTTTACAATAATGACTGTATTCTTTCCAAACAATTGGTTTCCGCTAGTCAGGTGTAGTCACCTTGGCAGGTACCGGAGACACTGCACACTCAGGCCGGGTGTCAGGCTTGCCTTAGTACGTTGTATTGCATATGGGTACAGTTAGTAGCTGTTCTTGTCTTTAAAAAGGGACAGGCAGCGAGAGAAAAGCCTGCGTTATCTACCCTGGACACGTCTCTGTTAGCACAACGTGGTTGTGTGGAAAGGCTGATGGACGATGTCGTCTTGCGCTGGTGTCACTCGGGCGGACTGCTCAGCTCTGAGGCGTCGGCACGACAGATTGGACATGTCCGATTGCTCTGTAAAAAAAGACAACACGCATCAACACCTCACATCAGCTTAAAGCCTAGATTACTAAACCGTGGTAAAATGTCAAAAACATAATACATGACACATTGTCAATTGCATAATACTTTGAACACATAAAACAAGAACAAATTGGTTAGTAGTATATCAGTGACTCTTTTGAAAGGTAAAAAACATGTACCTCCAAATTTTCTATGTCTACTGTCATCTTGATCACAGAGTGACCTAGTCTCGCGAGAACACGAAACTAGGTCGAGACTTGTGTGGATCTTCTGGCCTCCCCCGCCTCCTTGCGGAGTAGGGGTAGGTAGGACTTGGGCAGCTCCCAACCTTCCAGAAGATCCACACAAGTCTTGACCTAGTCTTGTATTCTTGCGAGACAAGGTCACTCTGTGATCAAGATGTAAGTGGACATCGAAATTTGGAGGTACGTGTTTCTACCTTTCAAAAGAGTCTCTGATTGAGGAAAATACTACTAACTGATAATTCTACGTGACTGATGAACCTCTTCAACAAGAAAAAATTGGTTTGCAAACTCCTGAGGTATGAAGAGGTAGGTGTTGACGACAGGACATAAATTAATTAGTCATCATACCAGCATTCAGAAATGACATGTTTCTTTAAATTTTTATTTTAAAAATGATAATGTTGCAGTATTTAGGTGACAATTGACTGTGGCTGACGTTGTCTCTAAGATTGAAACATTGCCTAGAAAAAAGAATTGTTCATACAGGATGGCCAATGGAAAGACTGAATGAGAAGGGGTGAAATGAGGTGACGGAGGAAGGGTTTATCTTCGTGGAGAAAGAAGGAGGATTGCAACACAACTTAAGACTGGAGTCTTTACAAGATATGGACTTCAATTGTTACTGGATTTATTATTACAGGGAGAAGGACCTCAGTATCTACTAGTAAGAGTCTTTGTTTCTCTAACGTCAAGAAGAAGAAGAAGACAATACCTTCAGCCACTTGTCGACACACTTGGCATGGAACTCATGATTGCATGGCAGGACCCGGAGGAGTTGTCTGTTTTCAAAGTCACACATGCACACAACACACCTGAAACAAGACAAAACCATTCCCATCAATACTGATCATGACATAAAAAAATGGACTATACCAGGGTACCTAGTTACGGATATCAAGTTATATATCCAGGTTAGACTCAAGTTATTGGTAGTTCCTGTCCTCTTACCCCATTAGCATTGGGGAATCATGTTCCCTAGTAGTTTGAGCCATTCTTTTGGACTTTTTTTTTTAACTCATTTTTTTTCTTGGGCAGATTTTGCTAAGAAATGCCCAGTTTTCTGGTAAGAAGGAAAGAAGAATGTATGTTTTTAAAACCTGGCCCAAAAGTGTGACCTTTGGCATGATTTGTCCTGTTAATGTGTTGTATTGTTGACCCCTGAATACTTCTTCCCTGGATGGATTGGGACAGGGTGAAATCCTGGTAGCTCTTTGAAACGCCAGAGTTGACCCTCCACTATTTGTACTTAAAGAAACCTGACAAATCCAGCTCTGCAGTTGGAGTAAAGACTTGAGGTTTGCAATTGACAAAAACGATGCACATCATCTGGACCCCAATAGCAAATCATATACTAAGACCAAAAAAATTCAATATGAACTAGTCAGAAATGCCATGAGGAAGGTTATAGACGGTCACTTACCAACCTGATGAAACTATTCAAGGATGCAAACACACAAACATCAACTAAGAATATAACCCTTACTGCAGAAGGAAATCTCCTTCCCTGAAGGTAAGAAGTGGAACTCACAGTGTCTGTTGTGACTGGTGGTTGTCGGGGTTGTATCTGTAGGAAGGCAGGTCTTCGATCTTGGCTTTGGACATCCCCCGGGGCTTGGCCTCTCCCAAACGCTCGGCCAAATTCAGCAAAGCCTGTTTGTTGGATAGGCAACTTCAATTAGTTCAGCTTTCAAATTACACAAAGTATGTTGGAACAACTACCACAGAATGGTTTGCGTAATTTCTATCTGATGAACACTTCATACGTACATAAAGCCGGGGATAAGTTAAAACAGTACAAATTGTTCAAAATCAGGTCTGAGCTTGTTAAGAAACAAAGGCAGGTTTTTATGATTTCATACCAAAAAAAAATAAACACAAGCATCACAGCATATTAAAAATAAGCACCAGTAGACTCGCCTATATTACGTCAAAGCCAACTTTGCCGCCCCTATAAACTCTTGCTTGCTTCTTCCCATCATGCACCTCACTCAAACTTTGACCTGTCCCTTAGCATGATGGGAAATAAAATGGCGGTGCCCACAAAATCCACCTAACATAGAACAGGTTTTTGAATCTGATAGTGACTCTTGCTTACCTCATAGTTTTCTTCCGCATTTTCTTCATTTCCAATGTCGACACCGTAGTGGGAGGCATTGGGGATCATAGTCCTGTAGAGGGAGGAGGAACCAATGTTAGGTTATCCTACGGTAAAAAAGGGAACAGGCTGCTAGGAGGCCTAAACTCACATCACTTCCCAAGCCAAGACCTACATGCATCTACATTGTAGCACCCAAAAATTTGTGACCCTAGATTGTCCACATCACGAGATATCAAAACTCGAATTTCCGCTGCATTACTATAACAACCCGCCAGGCCAAAATCTAATTTTGAAGTCTAACCAAGGCCTACCCACATACCAAATATCAAGATACTCATCTGAGCCTTGATGCTCACCTGAGTCATCGTGTTTCCACACAGACACACACACACAAATGTTACCGAAAACATATACCTTCTGGTGACGGTAACAGATGTACATTGTAACAATATCACAGAATACACAATACATGTAGAAGGAACACGTGAGGAAAGGAGATAATAAACAGGACTCGAAATTAAAGGTGGTCCAATTAAAGGTGGACCACTAAAATTTAGGCTGGGACAACTACAAAGACACTTTAGGACATTTTTGGGACAAAAGGAAAATAATCAACATCAGAATGTCAGCCCTTCTTTTGTTCATCAGGCACACATCCCGGCTTTTGGATCCGGAAAAGTCCCCCCAAATTTCCTGTCTACTCTGCAATTATTTGCACCTAGGAGTGAATATATGCAAAATAAAGTTGACTTCAAATTGAAGTCATACAATGCTTTCTAAAAACAGGTTGGGACAGTTTATCCTCACTTCGGGACAATTGAAATTTATTTTTGGGACAGTGCTGGGACAACAGGAAGAAAAGTTAATTTGAAGGCCTGCACAAAACTTGTGTACTTACAAGAATGGCAGTAAGAAGCCCTGGTAGGCAGGCGGTGAGGGTCCAGGCTGCCACCTGCGACCAGACATCTGCCGGGGGAAGCCCATTCTTCCATAGCGAGGGTAAGCATCCTGTACAAGACAAAACAGCTTTCTTATTCGGTAGTAGTTAGACTTAGAGCACAAGTGCTAGCCATTGGTTTACATGTACTATGTATGATTTGTCACTACAGATCTAAACTACATCGTACGTACATGGACCAAAACATCAGAAATTCCCGCAAAGCTCCAAGTTTTACCTGCCCTAAGTTGCATATACACCCAGTATTTTGTACCCTGATAAAATAATTAATGTATCATTGATAGTTCAACCTGAAAGTGCCTAGTACCAATTACAAGCAGTTGGGTCCTGTGGCGCAGTCGGTAGCATGTTTGGCTCACACCTAAGAGGTCGCATGTTCGAATCCTGCTCATGTCACCGATCTTGTGCTCTTGGGAAAGGCACTTTACACGACTTTCCTCACTTCACTCAGGTGGAAATGAGTACGGGCATCCCTCGGATAGGACGTTAAATGGAGGTCCCATGTTTGGGGAGATCCACACCCCACGCACATTAAAGAACCCACCGCACTTATCGAAAAGAGTAGGGGACCTTCCCGGGGTAAGTGGTTCAAACCTTACGGTCCGGTCTTACGCAGCTTGTACATGTACAAAACTCTTGTGTTAAGCCTAAAGGCAGTTTACTGGTTATGCGAAACAAACAAACAAAGCATGTAGTAAAGACTCTTCCATTCAGGCATTCATCTTCTGTTATCAAATGTTATCTGTAGAACCTTACCATAGGATGATAAGCGATGTCCATGCGCAGTCCTGGCTCCTCTGGCAGGAGGTGAGGTGGAGACTGGTTGGGCGGAGGCTGGGGAGGAACCATTCCCGGTGGCGGGGGTGGCAGGTGGAAGGCCGGGTGGTACTGGTAGTGGTGCAGTGGCTCCATGCGGACATCATTACTGGCATACGTTTGCTGAAACAAGAAAATGTTATGTACAGTTACAATGTATGTACAGCAGTTGGTAGTTGGTTATGTACAGCAAATCTATTTATCAGGAATATTTGAAATATTTGTAACGCACGAGCCTACTCTTACCTTTTAATCGTTCTGCTCAAAATTTTGAACTGCTGTGGTGTAGGTAGTAGTATGTGTAATTATTGTGGTCTATGTAGTCTTCCCAATGATTCTGTATTTTAACTTCCTAATGACTCCGTATTTTAACTTCCTATTTCTAATGACTCTGTATTTTAACTTCCTATTCCTGATGATTCTGTATTTTAACTTCCTAATCCTAATGAATCTGTATTTCAACTTCCTAGTGACTCTGTATTTTAACTTCATTATGTGCAATAGTATAAACTTTATGATCTTAAAATAATGAAATGTACATTGATTCCCAATTCAGAAACTTGTATTAGGTTTACAGCGAATGATCAATAAATAATTCTTGAGTTCTTGTAACACCTAAGATTTAAACTGCACTCTTTCTCAAACCTGATAAGCCTTAAGAAGTATAGAAACAGAATATTTTCAACTGTCGACAACCTACTCCTCTGTATTATTAATTGTAAGGACCAATAATATATTGTGGATAATATATTTTAATATGCTTGGAGAACTTGCCTACAAATCACGGTAAGCCTGTATCAAAAAAAAAACACCCAGGGGTGTTTGACCACTCTTCATTCATGGCAAATTTCATGTTGTTTGGCCCAAAAATGAAGAAATTAAATCCATATGGCAGGAGGAGGAGGAGGAGGAGGAGAAGGAGAAGAAACATGAGGAAAAACAATATGTTTCACCAAACCACTTCGTGGTGTGAAGCCATAACTAATGTTGTACTAACCGCTGTAGTTGTGGGAGGCAGGTACTGTGTGGAAGGTGGCATGTGCTGGGATGGCAGCTGCGCCGTGTGGCCCATCCCGGACCCCAGCTGCTGCTGCAGGTGCAAGGCACAATGAGAGACAGGTGGCTGGTGCAGGTGGCAGGCGGGTGGCAGCACCTGCGGGGAGGCCGAGTACTGGACGGGCTGGTTACAGCCAGAGAACATGGGGTTGTTCTGGGGGGTGAAGGCCGGGACGTAGGCGTTACTCTGCATGGAGCAGGTCTGGTCGGGGAGCGTACAGGCGGACAGTAAGGTCGGGCAGGGCTGGGCCGAGCTGCAGGCACCGCACACGGGGATGTGATGACCTGAACATACGGGGATCACATGAGGAGGCACGCTCATCGGCACGTTTATAGGCATACCACCCTGGATCTGCAAGGAAAAAAACATGGCAATTAACAATCATCTATGCTGGTAATACATGTATAAGACATATCAGTAGGAGGCATATTTCTCTAGCACATTAGCGTGCGTAGTCCAGTGGTTAGCGATCCTGCCTCTGGACTAAGAGGTTGGCAGTTCGAATCCCGGCTGTTGTCGCTCACCCGACATGCACGCTACTGTTTAGGGTCGCAGTCCTTAGGACGGGACGTTAAGTCGTGGCCCACTGTTGTCGAAAAGAGCTAGGGGAATTTCCCCGGAACAATGAACCTGTAAATACTGTACATGTACATAGCGTCTGTCTTCTCTGTCACGACCAGTGGAAGATTAGCTAAACTGGTTCAAGATCACTACCACCTTCTAGCAGAATTGAGGGTATCGAGGGTTCTCAATCTATGACTAGAATCATGTTCAAGTCAATTCTTATAGGGCCACAGCAAGTAAATTTTATGGACGACATCCTCAGGCAGACTCCAAATCTAATGCAATAGAGTGAAAAAAAACAAGGTGGGCAAAAAATCCAGAAATCCTACATTTTTAAATCCTACATTTTCAAATCCTACATTTTCAAATCCTTTTAAACAGGAATTGACTATTGAGGCCACAAAACATGTTATCACAACCAACTCCAACAGTTCTTTTTGTCCTGTATTCATGAACACAACCTAACCAGAAGTCAAAACTCAGCCGAGAATTAATGCCACTCTGATGTCATCCATAGAAACTACTTGCTGTGGCCTAATATAATTATGTGGTAATCTGAGTCAGCCCTATTGATTTATGATATTCAGTGAGTCAGCCCTGCTTGCGATCTGCTCCCCCATGTTAAATTTTTCTAGAAAAACCACTGATTGTGGTTGGCTGGCATCCATTTTCAGATATGAAACTACACCACTATCCAGTCTGATCGTGGTCGGGGCCACAAGAGCTCTGTCCCGCCCGCCTCACATAGGTTTCTCAGTGTGTATTTCACGAGAGATTGATTAGCCCTCCATCGTGTTGGGGGGAAACCAAATCCCCAAGCATACTGTCTCTTATTAGCGTAACTCTCCTACCGGGACGGCCTGTTGCACTGGGCGGGGGAAGCTTTAGAGCCCCCGAAGACACAACCTGCCTGAACACCCCAATACCCCCAATCACGATCAGACTGGATACCAGGCTACTATGAAGTACATGTATAGTAAAAAGGGTCAGTACCTGATGCCTGACTTGGTCTATGTCAATGATGACAGACTGTTGGTTGGACTGAGGGGGTGCGTGGGAATGTAAGGCTCGATGCAGAGGCATGGGGAACATGGCGGGGGGCTGGAATGCTCGTGACTCCTGCTGCCTCTCTCGTGGCACGTGGTTCTCCCGCTCCTCCCGGACCGGCTCCCTGGTCTCCCGCAGCGGGTGTCTGCGGAGGTACCTGTCTCTCGAGTGCCTCCTGGTGGCAGGACTGTGAAGTGCAACATCAGAGTTTTACTTCCATGTTTATATGAAAAAAAAAGATTCATCGAAGTCACATGGGATCGAAACATCCGGATATTAGGCCACACCAACATAATTTGTTGGTTCTCAGATTTTTTCAGAAAAAATATGAAGCGACAGGGCGAAAAAAAACAAACAATAAAAACAGGTCTTGGCATACTATTATAGCCCCAAATGCTATAATAGGAGCCATGAAGTCAACACAAAAGGCTGTGTTAATATTTTGAAATTTGTAATCAAACCACTGCATTGATAGATGGAAAAACTGCAACAACTAGGAAAAAAAGGGCTTTCCTCAACTGTTGGGAGCAAAATATGAGCATTTTTAGTTGATTCAGAACCAGAATCTTTTTTTTTTGTTGCAAATCAGAAAAAAATGAAGAGAAAGAAGAGGCAAATTCGAGAACCAACAAATTAAATTGGTATGGCCTTATGTTCAAAAATGTGTTGCTGTTAAGTTGTAGCCATGTAACAAATCAGAAAAAAATGAAGAGGTGAATCCGAGAACCAAAAAATCTAATTGGTGTGGCCTTTTCTCCGTAATTTATGTACTAGAGTTTGAATTTCCTATGAGATACAGACATGATGTTGTACCTTTTCCTCTCCCTGCCCATGCCTGCCCTGTTGTCGGGTTGGTGGTGGTGTCTGGCGGGCGGCCTGGCCTCCGACTCAAACCCTCCGCCTGCCCGCGGTCCCGGGGACACGGTCAGGTCGATCATGGTACTGTGGGATATTCTTCTACGCTTTCTGCTGGGGCTTTCACTCTGGAAACACAGGGAAGCACAACATGAAATACATGTACTGATCTGCTATGCCCCTGAGCCATAATATTGCAACAAGACTGGCAATAAAAACATACATTGCCATGGCAATGGTGATTGCTGTTAGGGTTATTGATTTTGAGGAAGACTTGGTACCTGTTAAGTCTAGACAGATACAGTGCACTCCTCCGGATCCCCTGGGTGTATAGTGCAAACTGCACACAATACTGTACCATTAGGCTCCTCCCTGAGACGTCGCCAAAAAAAAAAAATTAATGACTCTCAGTGGCCAATGTGCAGATGTTGTCTCATTGGCGCACCAAATCTATAGGGTGTTTTTGGCACACAGTTAAGACAGATTAGCTATAGCCCCTAAGAGGCTCAGTGGGCGTCACTCCACCGTACAGGTGGGGAAGTCGTGTAAAGTGCCTTTCCCAAGGGCACAACGTCGGGCCATGGTGAGTATCGAACCCTGGACCTCTCGGTTCTGAGTCCAACGCTCTAACCGTTGCGCCACCAATGCCACTAATTGCCAAAATGTCTGTGGATACTGTCATGTTGTTGTGCCACCTGCCATAGTACTAGGCCTAGATAGGTACATGTATGTGTATACATAATTGAAATGTTATTGTAATGGGATGTTATAACTTATTGTAATGCATGTCCAACTTTATGTACAGTCAAACCTGTCCAAGCCGGCCACCCAGGGGACCAAAGAAAAGTGGTCACCTTGGACAGGTGGTCTCCTTGAAGAGGGTCGCCTCACAACATGACTGAGACATAAATGGTTTCCAAGTCAAGATGTTTTCATGTCAAATGCTGTAAGTGTAAGCATCTTCAGTTCTGTGGTGAATGCATGTGGGGAGGGTGGCACATGGAACATTTTACGTCAAACAAAAACATCATCCACCAGTCAAGGCAAACTGGCTGGTTTCTCCATGATTTCTCATTAGTTATCTTGAGTTACTGGACAAACAGTATATTAATAGGGATAGAAATTTACTGTGTCCATCCTGGGTAGTTTGAAATCTTACCTTTCTGTCTGTCTCTTCAAGATGCTCAGCTGCAGATACACCTTGTGAAGACACCTGCATGTCCTGCTGGTCTGAAACGATAGAAACAAAAAAACCTTCATAATCATATTCATGCATTATCTATTTGTTACCCATGGCTCGAAACAGTTTCTTCTGCATACCTGTACTGCTGCAGGTAACATTGAAAATGACCTGCAAGAGACAAATTTTACCTGCACCACTCAGACTTTGAGAAGAATAGATCACACTAAAATAGGTAAAAAGTGTTCAAAAACCATTGCAATCATTTCTTTTATACTTCAAGTTCAAAATCCACCTACACCTACATTTGTACATGGACCTGTGCAGGTTAGGTGCAGGTAGACATCAGAAATACCTGCACAGCTCCAGTTCTACCTGCATATACCTAGTACATGGACCAGTGCAGGTTAGGTGCAGGTAGATATCAGATATACCTGCACAGCTTCAATTTTACCTGCACTAAGGTGCATATGCACCAAGTATTTCGAGCCCTGATACATGTACATGTACAGTGGACCTGCATGACTTATTTCCATAATGGGCCATTCTAATTTTGCATAATTCGAAACTGACCCACTCTTATTCAACATTAAGAATAAGTGACCGACCTGAATCTAAACTATGGCCATGTTGATTCGATTGAATGGATAATCCATGTTAAAAAGAACGCAGAAACTTCATTCTCTATTTGTCAGCTTCCATTCATAGTAAGTCAATTAATGTTGAGAATTAAAAGCCCCAACACCTCAAAATACACAGAAAACAAGCTGTTTAACGTCAACAGGATACCTTCCTGCGTTATGCAAATTTGGATTTTACCCCCCAGGCACAATGCATCCTGGGAATAGGAAGTCCCTGGAATGTATTTCAGGTAGAAACACAAGAAAACATTCTATGGCTTATTCCACTGAGTAGAGGACAGTAAGAAGGTCCATGGGTAAACAATGTTTGACCTAGGCAGAAGGGCAGATATTCATATATTCATAGTTTTTCAGTGTGTTGGTAGGAACAAGGCCAAGCTGAACCTTGACCTGTAGCATATTATGGGTTATGGTCCCGTTCCGCAATTACTCCGCACGTGTAGGATCTAAAAGAGTCCCAACTAATACGGACAAATTTTTTAATTGTTTACATGATATGTGCAAAAACCTGGTCTGAACGGTTTATTCAACCAGTTTTTACGTCATACATGTAATTCCGGGTTCACTGGGTCAGCTTCCAGGCCGTGTGCAACCTCCAAGCTTTTTTGATCACATTGTTTTGAGTTCGTTTCCACAGTGTTTTCCACATTTTTTTCTTCATTTTGCAATTGAATCGGCATATGCAACCTGGTCGGCGGATAAGACCAAGCTCCTGATATCTATTTTTGGAGAGCAGGAGTTGGAAAGCTGTTGGGAGGGGTGTTGTGCCGAAACAAAAATGTTTACCTAGAAATTTCAGTCAAGTTGGGGGAGCATGGTTTCTCAAAGATTATATTGAAATCAAGCCAACATCAGTATCTCATAGCAGGGTTCTAGCTTGTGCAAAGTAGCGTAGGGGCCCCCTACCCTATAATCTTGACCCCCTACGCTAAATTTCCCCCCCTACCCTATAATCTTGACCCCCTACGCTAAATTCCCCCCCCCCTACGCTATAATTTTGACCCCGGCCCCTACGCTAAATTTCCCCCTATGCTATTTTTTAATACAGCATAGGGGCATTGTGACTGTATTTCTTTGTTCAAGAATGCCAGATCAAATGTGAAAAATCAGGATACATTGTACATACCTTAGAAATAACATTTTTTCCCTTTGGGTATCCCTCAAAGAAATGACCTCTTTTTAAGCTCAAATTTTTGAAAGCTCTGCTTCGCTCCCTCATCATGCGGCCAGTGCCACTACGCTAAAATTAAATCCTAGCTAGAACCCTGCATAGTATCCCTACTATACTAGCAATTTACTATACTACTACTACTACTACGTCTACCAAAAAGCAGATTATACACAGCTACTTGGTAATTTTTTAAATCCAAGAACATGTACAGGTCTCTGCCAAAATCTCTGCAACAACTGCAATACCCAAAGCTTGGGCAAAGCAAAGGAACATTTTTCAAGCTTACATCCCTGCGCATGCTACAGTATAACAATGGCACTGCAGTAAGACATCTTCGGCCACACCAAATTAATTTTATGGATGACAAAAAAAAAGATCACATCCTCCGAGCCTATGAGGCCTGGCTCTAGGCCTGGGTACTCCATGGTAGTTAGCGACAATACGGAGCGAATGGTAACTGTGGAGGATGGCACCCAGGCTACCAAAGCTCCAGTGCTGATTCATAAATTCCGGGCAAAGCCAGCATGTGCCGGTTTGTCGTAGACATTGCTATGTGCTGCCGCAAATTCACAATACCAGCTTTGTATTCCTGTGGTTTAGTAGCAAATTTTTATTTTTGGCCAGATTTTTTTTTATTTGCCCGAGCACACTAGTTTGGGGGACTTCAGCAGGTGTGGCCTTAGCATTGAGTGCACAGTTGGAATCCAAAAGGGCTATTCATGACTCCAAATATACCAATACCGGTAATACTGGTATTGGCTGGTTTAAGTCAGATTTTTAATGGGAAGCAACAGTTTTTGCCAACATGGATAAATCATTGACAGTGCTATAAAAAAAAAGTGGAGAGAGCTAAAGAAAGACTGATTGATGCTGCAGGATGCCAAGCTACTGCAACAGCAGAATACAGTGGACTACTACTTCTTTTATCTTTGGATTTCTCCATGTATGCTCTGAATCAGGCAAGCCATGCCCCTAGCAAAGACTCTTTGTGTTCTACTACACAGTTATGGTTGCAAGGCCTGGGCCTGAAGGCAATTGCCAGCACAGTGCCACAGAAAGCTTTGGACACATTATCACTTCAGATCACAGGGCTTGAAATACTGGGTACATATGCACCTTTGTGCACCAAAATTTGGAGCTGTGCACCCAATTTTTTTTTCTGTGGGTGCACTGGTACCCAAATATTTTGGTAGGTATTTTTGTACATATTAAATGTATAATAGTATACAGGACATTCTTGGCAAGTGTCAGAAGAATAATGAAATCTTTGTTGTTGTAGTACATAATGTACTACTTGTTTAAGATGTTGAAGTTAGCTCCCATTTCAGATTCAAGCTCAGAAGAGGAGCAGTAAGATCTGTAATTACGTTTTGTTTTATATGGTGCACCCAAAAAAATTTTGTGAACACAATTTTTTGGTTGGGTGCACCAGTGCACCTATTCCCAAAAATGAATTTTGAGCCCTGGATCATAACAAGAAACATTATTACATAAGTCCAGGATGTGTGTACCTACATTTGTGTAGGTGGTTCCATTCAGCTTGAGCCTAACCCACATAACAGGACACTGACCTAGAGATGACATGAAGTAAAAGCCCTGGAGTGTACGTAATCTCTGCAACCTAGAAATTCAAGCTACCCAGGCTAGGGTTTCTCTAGCAAAATTTAGCATGATGGAGCAGATCACTAGCATGGGGGGTTGGTTGGTGCAGGATTTTGGAATTTTCACGAGAGTAACACAGTAAGGCTAGAATGCATTGTTACGATGTTCTGTTTTATATTTTCACTGGAAAAAGATCATTTTGAGAGACTTAATGCTGTGTATTTAACCACTAAGGGTTCAAATTCAATCTGAAAATTGATATGGGGGAGCTGGCTGCTTACATGAGAGAGCAGTGCCCTTATTCCCCTGTTGAGAAAAACCTGTGTCAGTTGTTTTCTGTGACCACAACTACTCAAAAAAGGGCCCGCAAGCGCACCCAACTCTGCCCAACATGACCGTTTTTCGCCCCCCCCCCTCGCGCCGAAATGGTCATGTCAGGTCATTGGGGCAGCTCACTTTCATAAGGGGGAAAATGGTGCATGGTGTGAATGTATTAAATATAGAATTATTCATAAATATACAGTACAAGAAGTTTAAATAAATATAAAATATACATAAAACGTGACTTCATTAGTTGTGTGTGTGTTTTTTTTTTATGAATGGCGTTGCTTCTTGTAACAAAAAGCTAGCGAAATGTCCCAAGAGAATGTCAATGTGGTAAACTAAGGACATTACAAAATGTATGTCAAGTCCTTGGGCATCCATTGTATTGCGATGCTTGCAATTCTAGTAAATAATTAAATAAATCCTTGGGGTAAACAAAAAACAGGACTTTGTTTCCTTTGTTTTTGTTTTTTTCCCAACAATTTTTTGCTCGTATAAAATTAAAAAGAATCTGATTCCAGACTAAAAAGGGTCCAACATTCGCGTATCTGGAACTGAGCCAAAAACCTAATTCCAGTGATGTTCATTTGTCCCAGTTTAGCTGCATATATTATACGGATCTGGGTATCTCAGCATGAGCTTTATATACATTTGGCCCCTTGCTGGAATACTTTAAGTATATCTATGTCTAATATGAATTATAGTAACTGGCTTCTATCAATTTTTTTTTCAGCAAATGTTACCTTATAAGTTCCCATGAAGCCAAATCACACAAACCCACATCTGCTTCCAAATACTGTAAATGAGGTTACTTATAATGTTCAATTTTAAGGTAAACATCATCAAGAACAAATACTGAAATAAAACATAATGCAATATTACATAACTTGCGATTGCACAGGCATTGAAAAGGTTTTAAAATCTGCCACTCCTAGATTGGATTTTCTATGAAATTACATGTAATTACCTACAGTATTTTTATTTTCCTACAACCCCAATTTTCTATTGAAATATATTTTGAATGGGATTAAAAAAATCACCATCTTCTTGCAAAAATTAAATTCATTCATGATCAGCAGAATGACCAACAAAAGATCACCAACAAGCAAATTATTTGCTTTCCTTAATTTTGTTTTTTGTTTACCTTGATTTTGTTTACAACCAGTGAATCATTCAGGGAAAAAATACTAATAGTAAAGACCTGCATTTGTAGCAAATTCTTTCAATTCATATACTAGTAAATTGCATGTTGGCCCTTGTTGGACACTGAACCTACTGTAAAGTCTTAAATTTCTTCAGTGTCCCATGCAGGAAAGAACAAAGCCATGGACAAAAATCCTGCATGCTATATTCCTTCCATAATCTGTACCAAAAATGTTCATATCTACGCATATTATGCAATTTTTCTTTTTCAGAATACCTTAAGAATTATACCTTGGGCCATTGTTGAATTTGCAAACATGCAAAGAGGGGTTTTTTTTTTACAACCAGCAACTTTTGCTTCTAAATTTTACACTACAAAATATTTCATACCAAAATGTGAAATACATAATACCTATTTTGACCCATTCACCCTTTTCCTTTTAAAGATTTTTTTTTCGTTATTTCAGATGGTAGTGTGAAATAATAATTTTATGTATTCCATATTTTTTGCAGTCTACGGTAAGTTAAACTCAATGGGACCTGGCCGCCATCCTGGAATTCTGAAACTCGGGATGTAACTTATGTTACAAAATCAGATCATTTTACGATACGTATTTTACGAAGAGAGATGCCATATGACGAACCTTGGTTTGTGGAATGGCTCCTGGTAGATTCTCGCAGGTTATAGCCGAGAGAAGTCCTGACGGGAGACTCCGAGCGCGAGGGGCCTGGTAGTGACAACGGGGATCGGGGGCCGGAGTGGGGGGAGCACGGTGTCCCTGTTCCGGTCGACGCAAATACCAGCCTTTCCGAGTCAATTATGTCCGGTACAACACTTTCTTGCTGAGGAACAGTGAAATTTCCCATCAGATACCTCCCAACATGGTGAATCGGGGTGGGTTTGGGCAAGCTGCGGCGGAAACGGGAGCGAGTGACGGGGGTTCAGTCAAGGCGGCTGACGCCACAGGCATCCCTCCTGCCCGGCCGAGTTCGCTGTTCCTTCCCTGCCGATTCTACAGCCAAAAACACAAAACACACACGTTTCACAACACAACCTCTTCTCTATATCCTCACCACTAACCTACACCTTAACTTGACAAACTTACAGAGCCGAGATGTGGACGCCTGGTCCCGAGAAAAACAAAAAAATCCAGGGTAAACCTTTTCGTTGTTGTAACGTTATGGTTTACATTCGGGGTGCAGCAGAGGCAGCCAGCGCGCGCCGCAAGGTCCTTCTCTTGTTCCGGGCCCCCCAAAAAACACCACACAAAAATACTGTGCACGCACACGGACGAGATAGGCTTACAGAAACACCATACCATCAATAAGGCGTGCTATTCCATGGTGAAAACCTGTACCACTGCTGATTTTTCCCCTTCCCAAAGAATAAAATCCCTGAATCCCTCGGCCTTGCTGGGTATGCGGGATCCTGCCCTCCACTGAACAGAAGTCCTGCAAACAAAGCACTTCGCCCCCCTGGGCCTGCAGCGGTATGTCGCGGGCTCGCTGTTCTCCGCCGCTCGCTAAAAATCCTACTTCCACTCAACCCCAACTTACGACTAACCTGTAGTGTTTTCTCCGCACCAGGACTACGAGGAGAGTGTATTTTCCGGCGTAAACTCCTGCGTGTTGCTGGCTGTAACAGACCGCCGAGTCTTCGCGTTGTGCCCTGCTCTTCTCACCAACCAGATGATGAGGGGGCTGTGGGGCTTCTTCCGGCTCCACCCGGTACGTCACTTCCGGTGTGAACTCATACAGGAGTCACAGCTGTTAGTCATAATGCCAGGTGCTCCAGGTGATGACTGGTGCCGCACCAATTCTAGTTGTATTCCAGGAAATGTAGATTTGATTTCTTTTTCAAGGATTTAACTGCAAAGCTGATGTGTTTGTTACCTGTAGTTTGGGGGCATCTGATTTGAGGGGGCCCGCATGCCCTTTTCTGTAGAGCGTAATCGTGGAATTGTACATAATGTGTTGTAGCCACTTGGAATTTATCGTGAAGTGTAATCGAGAGGTTTCCGAATTCAGCGTAGAGCGTTGTCAGAACCCCCCACCCCCACCCCCATGCAGGCCCTCGTTTTAGTACCAGATTCCCTAGGGGGGGCCGCATGCCCTTTTCAGTAGAGTGTAATCAGCCGTTTTAATTCTATGTAGAGCGTAGACGAACCGTTCTAATTCAATGTAGAGCGTAATTGGCGCATTTTGTGTAGAGCGTATTCGCCGTTTATAATTCTACGTAATGCCTTGCAGCCACTTGGAATTTATCGTAAAGTGTAATCGAGAGGTTTCCGAATTCAGCGTAGAGCGTTGTCGGGACCCCCCCTTGCAGGCCCCCCTTGTTTTCATGCTTTGTCAAACTTACATGTATCAATCCTTTTTAACTCTAAAGGCCACACCAATTTAATTTGTTGTTTCTGGGATTCGCCCTGTCCATTTTTCTTCTGATTTGACAAAAAAAAAAATGGAGGGGGGGGGGTTCTAAATCAACTGCAAAATGCTCAATGAAAGAGTCATATTTTGGCCCAAACAGTTGAAGAAAGTTCTTTTCTTTCCAGTGGTTATTTCATAATGCAATTTTGTTTCATTAAAAGTTCAAAATCTATTGTTTAAATCATAAACCAGCCTGGTATGTTCACTTAATGGCTTGTATTGTAACATTTCCGGCTATCATGGGGTGCCCTGGCCTGTTGCTTCATGTTTTTTCTGAAAAAAATCTGAGAAACAACAAATTAAATTGGTGTGGCCTAATGCATGTGTAATAGGTACGAAGGACTATAGGTACAAATGTTGTGTTCATCGAAAGGGACATGTTCAACAGCAAAGTGGCTATGTTACACGGTGAGCGACTGTGCTCAGCAAAAGAGTTGTGCTGAGCGAAGGGGCTGTGCTCAGCAAGGGGACTGAGTGTGCAGGGAAGGGACTGTGCTCAGGGAAGCGATGGGGCTGTTCCTGTTTGTTTCATGTACTCAGCCAAGGGACTACTCAGCAAAGGGAGCTCGAGCACAGCTTCACATACAAAAAAACAGGACGGAGTTCGAGGAACATGTCTTCATCATGTAAAGAATGTTTAAAATTAAAGTGTATTTTTAACCTTTATTATGTTATTGTGTAAGTTATTGTGTGATGGTGGTGTGTTCTTGTCCAGTAACTTCTTACATCTATTCTGGGGCCTCCCCTCCGTCCAAGCCCCTTTAAAATGATAGTCTTAAAAGCAATCTGTCACATTACTCTGTCACATTCGGGTAACAATGCTGTATAACTATAAGGATGCACTGATCATTTAACCTAGTTACACAGTTCTAGGGACAAACAAACCCTGACAGTGTCCTTAAACATCATCTAGTTTTATGCAATTATGAATAACCCTATTCACTTCTGTTAATTAGATGTTGATTACATGTGCACGAATATATCTATATATGTAATAATCGTTAACTTAATATATGTTAATCATTAACATACTTAACTAGAGTTCCCCAATCTCATACCTTCGCCAAATGATGTTAATCTTTATGACTGACAAAGTTTAGATTAGATTATCCCCCCCTGATTTAAGAAATAGGAACCTAATTTTCATGAATTATATTGTTTTATCATAATCTCAACCAAAAGACAAAAAGTCTTATATTAACAAAGAATGCATTCTAGCATTTCCTAATAAATTATGCAAATGAGGTCCTGATTTCAATAAATTATGTTTAATGATGTTCACCTCAATTTAACTTTCAAATACCACAAGTATGAAATTCCAGGCAGTTATCATTACATAATTATAAAATTTTCTCATTAATTATGCAAATTAAGTTCTTTTTAACATAATCAATATCTTCCTGTGTTTCTCTCGTTGTCAATTACCAATGTCACAAGCTTCAATTGTCCTATCATGGAATGCAGCTGATTTATAGAATTTCCCCATAAATTATGCAAATTACATCCATATTTGCATAATTGTCACATAATTATATTAAGCATTACGTAAGCTACCTACATACCAAAAATCACGACGATCCGTCACCCGGTTCTTGAGTTATCCCCTTTTGAATATTTTCAAGAATTTATCCCTGCAGTTCTAGAGCAAGCCTCTAGGGGGCCTAAACTCACGCCACTTCTTTCCCAGCACAAGAGCTACCTACCATCTAAATTTCAATACCATAGCATGTCCAGATCATGAGATATCAAAACCGGAAGTTCAGCTGCAGTACCATAATAAGCCGCTAGGGGGTCCAAAATCTAATCATTAAGTCTCATCAAGACCTACCCATCTACCAAGTATCAAGACAATCCATCAAGGCCTTCTCAAGTTATCGTGTTTACAGACAGACACACACACACACAAACACACACATACACGAACGCCCCTGAAAACATAACCTTCTTGGCGAAGGTAAAAATGTGCAAATTCATCAACCCCAGCTCCACCAAGACAAAAATGCTACGGAAAACATACCATTCTGAGAAAGGCAACTCTATATAATGGAAGTACATGGAGGATGGATAATAATAATGGGACAAAAGTCAAAGGCAAATGTTGTGATAAAAATAAGCTGCACACTGTCAAATGTCACAAATATCATGAAGTCTGAGAAATGCCAACATCTGCCAAGAAATGTCAAGGGACCACCCCGATGGGTTATGCAATTTAGCAAAAGTACAGTAACCCCAACTACATTTATGTCGTACATGTATAATATGACAATCAGAGGATGTCTATGTGTGTGGGGGTTTTTTTCTGAAAAAAATCTGAGAAAGCAACCAACAAGTCAAATTGGTGTGGTCCTATCTGTATGTGCCTCAATGTCTTCCAAAAAAATGTCTGCAGAGAATCTTCTAGCCAAACACAATATCCAAGAAAAATCACCATCTGAAAACAGGTCTCATGACAAATGCTGATAAACAGATGATGGAGATGGTTAGGTTACATATGCCGCATGCCATCAGATAGTATCACCAGAACAGCTCTAAGATGGACGCCTCAGGGTAGAAGACTGAGAAAAGACTGAAGAAAACATGGCGAAGAACTATGATGATCGAAAAAGAAGTGCGGAGCCATGGTTTCACTGACTTGATGAGGCACCAAAGATGGCAGCGGACCTGGCAGATGGAAGAGCTACCTTCTGCCTTATAAGAGCCATGCTGGCACAGTAGAGTTCAAGTAAGGCCAGACCGCCTTTATTTTATGGATGACATCTGCACGCGCATTGATTTTCGCCTGTTCTAAAAAAAAAAAGATCATGTCCTTCGAGGCTCTGGCCTGGCTCTAGGCCTGGGTAGTCCATGGTAGTTAGCGACAATACGGAGCCTGTGGTAACTCTGGAGGATGGCACCCAGGCTACCAAAGCTCCAGGACTCAAGAACCCAGTACATACCATTCATAAATTCCTCAAAAAGCCAGCATGTGCTGGCTTGTCGTATACGTCGCTATGTACTGCCGCTAATGCACAATACCAGCTTTGTATTCCTGTGGTTTAGTAGAATTTTTATTTTGGGCCGGATTTTTTTTATTCGCCCGCGCGCACTAGTTTGGGGGTCTTCAGCGGATGTCATCCATAAAATAAGTCGGTGTGGCCTAAGTAAGTATCTGTATTTGCAGCACAGCCCTACATCCTCAGTCGTTATTTCTTGTCTGTGGGTCTGATGGCAGACTTAATTATACATTTTCTTAACATTCTATGTTAAAACATTGAGACAGAGAAACACACACAGGGTAGAAATCATATTTCTTTTTATTTCCTCTTTTTCCCACCTACAAAACCAGCCGCTCCCCATGTTACTTGGTTTACACACGGTCTGATTATCGTCTAATCAAGCAACTACAGCAACCAACCCACAGAACTAAATAAGGAACAGTTCCATGCTACATCTTACCCCTCTATATCTTATTATTGTGTATCATAATAAAAGTAAGGAATACCTTTGTACACCCATATCCATCCATCACTATTGTTAACCTCTAACTACTAACAGCTTGACTATAAGTTGACTACTACTTACTTCACTCATTGATACTAAAATAGGATCACGTCTTAACTAGTATATAAATTACTCACTACAGTTTTACATTTGCCTCATTGACCACATCAACATATCTTCTCCAGTCAGACTTGATGCCTACAATTTTCTCTTCATTCAAGGGAAACTTTGGATAAAAATCAGCTTCGAAATGTTCCGTAAGTACCAAACATTTTTATAAGGCCTGTCTGGATGTCTCCTCTTTTTAGCGAGCGTACATTTCTTTAAAGCCTGTACAAGCAAGATGTATGACGTAAGGTAACTTGTCATGAGTACATACTGGAATCATAGACTGCAGAACAACTTTTTCTCTTCAAAAGAAAGACGAATTACGGGAGCAAATTAATGTAGGTTCTGTTATTTGGCAGTAATGGTCATGTATTCCTGTCTGAAGTTTGTATGAATGAGAACCTACTACAGTAACTTATTGCAATCTGGCATCTAAGAAAGAGTAGAACAGCAGCCAAGAGTTTTCGCTCTCAACATTTAAGATTTCATGTGTCCTTGATGACAGAATATGTAGTAAATGGACTCATCATGCAAGTTTTTCTGTCACATCAACAGTTTTCAGCATTATGACTCACGCAAGGACACCACAACTTCTGTAGTATCATATACATTTTTGTTGTCTTCTTTATGGTTATTTTCAACAAGTCACTGAGAAAACACAGCTCAGTCATCTAACTTTTTTAAACTACAGTCTCATCATCTTACTTGTAGCTTGATCATGTTTTTAAATTACTGTACATGAGATGCTTTTTCACATCAAGTGCCAGGTCTATATCAAAGGTGACTTCACAACGTTCATGATTGTGATACGACAAAAGTAAAACGTTGAAAGGCAAAAGGAAACTCACACAAATAGGACCTCCTAGGGTTAGTACAAGAAAATTGTGGAGTTCCAAAAATTTTGTACAGCACAGTGTTTTAGTAACTGTTCACACGTGGCGCAGGAAATGGCCATGCAAGGCCCAATCTGCACACAAGTACATGTACACGCTCAAGCCTTTCTTGTATGTCGTGAAAAAAACGTTTCGGACAAGAGCTACCTCAACTCAGGACACCCTGGTTGGTTTCTACAATGTCCACTCAACAGGTCAAACTAACATGGCAGCTTACAATCTCTGTTTGAAAACAAATGTATTCTCTTTCATGGACAATAGGGGGGAGGGGGGTGGAACCGACTTGGACTTGTTATCTTACACTTGGACATTCAAACCCTTACAGGGGCTACCTAGTTATTCTGCCGTGCATGTAACGGCTGAAGTAATGGTTCCATGTCCAACAGGAGTGAATTACATACATGAAATCATCATTGTTATCCTGTGGCACACATGCACTTTACCATCAGTCCAGTAGCAACTCTCCATAACTGATACTTAATACCAATACTACTGCAAGGCCTAAACACAAGCTCATCTCTTCCACATTACCAAAGCAAAACTTCTCGATGACAAAGGTGCTCGGGATAACTACTTATAAATCTTAATCAAGTCGAGTCCTCAAGAACGAATTGG